TGACCTACTGTAAGTAAAATGAAAATATTGCATTTTGAATTAACATCAACGAAAGGCAGATTTTAGAAACCGCCGTAAATCACAATCCAATTATTTGCTGCCATTAGTTTCGCTTTTGAAGTATCCTGCACCTGCATCTGCACCCGGAGTCAAACAAACACAATCGCATTTTCTGCAGTTCCCATGGACTTCGCGGCGTAATCGCATTGCGGCATTGACGCAACTTGCGGCACAAATAAACCACCCCGCCGCTTACTGACTGCGGATCCGGATTCCCCGACTTAGGCCATCATCAAGTGGCGCAAATTACAGATCAAACATGCCAGTGAGGGTAGTTGCGTTGTTTTGGGTGACCATTTGTCAAGAAGGTTGACAACATTACGCTGAAAATTAAATAGCGTAATAAAAGGGTGACTTAATTTGTTTTTTTTTTGTGCTAAAAGTCCTAGCCACTTGCTTCACGGAGGGTTTTAAGCGGAAGATGAGCTGTGAACACGTGTTTGTTTTCCAATAAAATATATTTCTATATATTTTAATAGATGCCTGTCCTTAGTCTTTTATAGGCTGTCTCGTCAGGATATTGAAATTGTTGGCGTTGTCAACCCCGCGCGACCGTAAAAACGACAATTACACGTACCTAATAACGAGTAAAGCCCCGGAGACTAGAAACCAGACCGGAGAGCTTAGATTTAAGTAGCTGATAATGCTTGAGTTGACGCGTGACGGCCCATTGCCCGGTATTTTATTAACGATTCAAACGAAAAAAGTCAACTTTTAATCTGGGCAAACAAGATTTTTTTTTAGATAAAACATAAGTTTTATCGAAATATAAATCGTGTGAAAATATATGAATGACAAAAGTATCAAATATAACTTCGGCCGAAGAAAGTGTTTTAATTTTAAATGCCTATTGCTTAAACATACGGCTGCGGTCATAATAATAGCCCATTTGAGTTAACGAAAAACATGAAAAAATTTAAGAGACTTAGGAAAATTATTTTAAAAAAAAACTGGTGTGATTCAGCTCTTTGTCATTTTCAAACGGTCAAATAAGTGTCATGTCCTCTTAAAAAACGAAAGTATCACTTCGGCAATCTTGCATGACATGGGGCATATGCATTTGCGGCAGCAAAGAACGCGCTAGCTTGTTTATATATGTAGAAACAATTGTACATTTTAGTTTACACACTCTATGCTAATTCCTAATTTTAATTTGATGATAATTTTGTATTGCTCTTTGCCTTGTACATTTTCACACACACACACACACAACTATGTTTAGAGGATACTGCAGCGCGTAGTTCTAGCATCTAAGTTTATGCAACATTTAAGGCTTAAGTCAGAGAAAAGCCGGGCGGCGCTGCATTCGTTATGTTCAACGCCACTTTGCAATACATTTATTTATAAACAATATTTTAAAAGGATATACTCTACTGTAGTATATCGGTAGACCACAATCAAAAACTGCAAACCGGAAGTCTGCGAAGGTTTTAAGCGAGTTAGGTTTTTAGTTAGACATCGTATTCTGCAGCCTTTTCCATGTGTATTTTGTACTTTCATTTCGCATAATTTATTATGCTACTATGCTTTAGCTTTTAAGTGTGAAATCCACTGAAACTGAAGAATTCTGGTTTCTTATGTTAAATAAAGGTTAAGGAGGCCGGATGGTTTGAAACTTAAAAAAAATGGTTGAATACATGTATTTTTTTGAATTTTTTTTTATAATCATTTATATCAAATAACATCATCTTAGGAATATCCTGTGAGAATTCCATGTCGATCGGACTAAAACTCGCTGAGATTATCTTGTTATCATGCTCAATATACTTTCAATGGCGTTTAAAACTTTAGACGCGTTTTTTTCAAAACAGTTTTTGTAATGCTCGGATCTACCATAAATTAAATTTTTCACACATTTTGTTCACACTTTATACAATAAATACTTGCGGATAAACGACGGCTTTTATATACATACAAATTTTTTTTTACCATTTTTATACCCTTGCAGAGGGTATTATAATTTTGTCCAAAAGTGTGCAACGCAGTGAAGGAGACATCTCCGACCCTATAAAGTATATATATTCTTGATCAGGATCACCTCCTGAGTTGATATGAGCATGTCCGTCTGTCCGTCTGTCTGTCCGTCTGTCTGTTTCTACGCAAACTAGTCTCTCAGTTTTAAAGCTATCGTCTTGAAACTTTGCACACACCCTTCTTTCCTTTGCACGCAGTATATAAGTCGGAACGGCCCGGATCGGCCGACTATATCCTATAGCTGCCATATAACTGATTGATCGGAAATGGTATAACTTTGACGTTTTTAAAGTTACAGAGTTCAAATTTGACATGAGAGCATTTTTTGGCAACACATTACGACATGCCAAATTTCATAAGGATTGGCCGACTATATCCTATAGCTGCTATATAACTGAACGATCGGAAATGACCCAACTTTCGTGTTTTTGAAGATAGAAAGGTGGAATTTAGTACAGATTCTATTTTTGGTCAGTTGATCCAACCTACCAAATTTCATTAGGATCGGCCGACTATATCCTATAGCTGCCATATAACTGAACGATCGGAAATGACCCAACTTTTGTGTTTTTGAAGATAGAAGTTTGGGACATTTTTAGGTTTGGTTTTTGTATTATAATAAATTGGGTTATATTATCATATTCTCATAAGGATCGGCCAACTATATCCGATGTTTGCGATATATATCCGGTTTTAACTGCAAGGGTATATAAACTTCGGCTCCGCCCGAAGTTAGCTTTCATTTCTTGTTACAGCCAATAATTGGTTGATTTTTCATGTTAAAATTGTACCTTTTAATTTAAGACCGCGCCACAAATTAAAATCTAATTTTTTTTAATGTACATAATTTTGTTCATCCGCACAAGAAACTAATATTTTAAATAAATTAATTCAATTTTTTTATTTAAAAAAACACTGTGAAGACGACACTTTTTTGAAGCGACTCCGAGCGACTTTTGACAAAAAAGTTTCTAGATACTCTCCAAATATAGTCATTTATTATTTACAACACTTTAATTTAAATAAAACTTTAATTTAAAAACTTTAATATTCTCTCAGAAAGGAGAAAAAATTCGTCCTCTTGTTGTTATACCCTTGCAGAGGGTATTATAATTTTGGTCAAAAGTGTGCAACGCAGTGAAGGAGACATCTCCGACCAAAATCTAAAAAAAGTCCCAAACTTCTATCTTCAAACATACCAAAGTTGGTATTTCTACCAAAAACCATTTCCGATCGTTCAGTTATATGGCAGCTATAAGATATAGTCGGCCGATCGTTATGAAATTTGGTAGGTCGGATTAACTGACCAAGAATATAATCTGTACCAAGTTCCAGCTTTCTATCTTCAAAAACACGGTCATTTCTGACCGTTCAGTTATATGACAGCTATAGGATATAGTCGGCCGATCCTTACGAAATTTGGCATGTCGTATTATTTTGCCAAAAATAGCGCTCGTGTAAAATTATATACAATTTCCGATCAATCAGTTATATGGCAGCTATAGGATATAGTCGGCCTATCCGGGCCGTTCCGACTTATATACTGCGTGCAAAGAAAAGAAGGGTGTGTGCAAAGTTTCAAGTCGATAGCTTTAAAACTGAGAGACTAGTTCGCGTAGAAACAGACAGACAGACGGACAGACGGACAGACGGACATGCTCATATCAACTCAGGAGGTGATCCTGATCAAGAATATATATACTTTATAGGGTCGGAGATGTCTCCTTCACTGCGTTGCACACTTGTGGACAAAATTATAATACCCTCTGCAAGGGTATAATTACCGGGTTAAATTATAAGGATAGGTGAAAGGACTGTTGGACAACATCCTATAGTATTATTTTATTTCAAAAACATTACTAAAATAAGAATAAATTTTATTTGTACCCAACTTTTCCATGGAACTACTATTATTTTGAACGCGTCGTCCATATGCTACATAGCAAATAACGGCGAAAAAATAGAAAGACATGGAATAAGACAATGAAACTACATATTCTAGTAGTACCGGTATTAATAGGTAATAATTTGAAAAAAGTCGATTTTCCAAAGCATATAGAAGTTATAGCCGAAAAACTTTTTACTCGACCAGCACTACTATTATTTCGACCGCAACATATTATAATTTAGTAATTACATACATATTTAAGAGGGAGAGTCACTAGAAAATTAAACAAAGCCTTAAATAATTTATAAAATGTATACATTTCTGACAACTACCTAGAAAACTATACTCTTCATACATACATCCGTCCGGTTTTGAATTTTGAAATCTTTTAAAAACCATTGCAAGAAAAAAATGTCATTCAGAAAAGCTTACGGTTTTATTATAACAGTCCCAATATATGTACATGTACATATTCTGGGGCCCCAGCTGCACACAAATCAGCGCTGAAAAGTATGCTCTAAATTTCGCTAAAGTGGCCCTAATAAGTTAATCAAACTAATTGCAGCAGTTAAAAGACGTTGAGACGGGGGGCACTGGCCACAAGCAGGGGAAACGAGGTAAATATTTCCCTTGCCGGTTGGCAGCTATAAATTCCGAACAAACCCCAGCCCCCACCACAGTCCAGTCGATCCAACTAAGTATGTTGTAAACCATGAAAAGGGTTGTTTCTCGTGGCTCCGATGCCTGCTTTGAAATTCCGGAGAAACTGCTGTTGCTGCTGTGACATGAACATGTTAATTGCCGTTGCCAGGCTTAGTAGCAGGATTCGTAAAAACTCTCAACTGTGGCCGAAACAGACTTATTCTGCAAAGTTCTTAAAAATTGACGCACGTTTTACTTCGTTTCCTTTTAATTAAAAGTTCAGAGGATTGGGGAACGTTATGGTTATAGCCAATGGTCAGTTGAGCTTTGTTAAGCTCTCTAAATTGGCTAAAGAACTCTGTTTGGCGTTGGCGGTGACTTGGCAACAATCAAAGCCCAGGGACTGCAGTTTGAAGGGCAGAAAAAATGGCTTAGGTATGTTACATATGTATGTGGCGACTTTATTCATTAGTCAACTTTTATCTACTTGTGGAACAAGTAACAAAAACAAACCTTTGGCGACATAAATATGTATTTTTATGCATACCTCTGATACAAACAAATATATTACTTAACTATTACTTAATTCATAATTATGTGTTTATAAGTTTCAACAAAATAAACATTTATTTTTTTTCTCATTTTACATAAGTTTCTTATGTTCTGTTTGAAGGGCTAATCAATTTAAATGTGTTTATAAAATATTAAGCAAAAAAAAAAACATACTTGCTTTAGTTACTGCACTTTATTTAATATAAATATAAATGGCTTCAAAGGTAATTTAAAAAAAAAAAAATTTTACTTATCTAAGTTTAACAAATCTTCTAGTTGGCTTTTACCAATCCTTCACCATAGTATGCCGTAAGAGCTACCATTCGCGTGTCTAGATAATTATGCTCCACCTCGCACTGCTGGCCAGGTCCACTTAAAGCAATTACCTGTGTCATATTCGAATTACGAGGCAAAAAAAATCCTACTTTGCTGGAAAGATTTCGGGAAAGTTTCATCAAGTGGGAGGCTCCCACGGGAAGCAAATTTTGTTCAATGTCGAAGGTGCTCTGTTTTTGATAATCAGGACCTCCCCAAGGAGGACTAAGAAACACGATATCTGGGCGTAACTTTGTACCGACGGCGAACTGCAGGAAATCCGCATGAATAAACTCTATCTTGTGGGAAACGCCGTAGATAGAAGCATTGTGCTTAGCCATCGCCAACTTTTTCGCGTCGATGTCAATAGCAATCACCCGTCCGCAAGTGTTAGCGAACTGTATGGCATTTCCACCGCATCCACAGAAGGCGTCTACAATTAGATCACAGGCCAGTCGTCGAGAAGTTTGCCTTGCAATTTTTTCAGGAGTCACCGAGAACCAGCTCTCACGATCCAGTTGAATCCCTTGGTCAAAACGTGAAAACAAAGAGAATCTTTTCATCCAGTATTTAATCATTTTTCGGTTGTTTTCGTCCCGCATAAATTCGGGCATTTTAGCCGCCAGAATTTTTACTTTATTTAGCTTGCGCTGGTTCTTCTTTGATATGAAACCTTTCTGCACACCATGAAGTTGGTTGGTGCTTTCGTTTTCCATGATTAGATCGTCTTCGTCTTCCGAGTTACTGCTAGAATCGGTAAGATTTCTTAGTTTTTTTAAATTTTGTTTCCCCTGCGAGCCAAAGGATGTAGGCAAACCCAATAACCTTAACTGTTCCTTCTCGTTAAAATCTAAAGAAATTTCGTTATCGCCTAAAAAGGATTCCTCCTCTGTTTTTTCCGCAAATTTCTTAGATGTTTTTTTTTTTTTTTTTCTTTCTTTTTTCGAAAAGTTTAAGTCTTCAAAACATTCCTTAATGTCCTCTATAGTTTCTTCCTGTCCGAAAGATTTCTCCAAATCGTTCCGATAGTTTTCAGAAGCACAGGAAAGAATGTGCCAAAATTTGGCGGTTAAATTATTTACGTGTTTTTCCCACAATTCAAGCCAAAGAGCCTGCTCTTCTGAATTAAAAGATTCGCTTTGTTCCCTGTATTCGGGAAATCGTTTGTGCCACTTATGCTCGAGTAGTTGGTGACCCTCGAGTTCCCAAAACTCCTGCCAGGCAGTCTGGTGAACAGCTTCCAAGTCGTAATTCTGCCAATCAAAATTCTCGCTAAAGGTTTGCCTGAATAAGTAAAATACCGGATTGGTACGCGAAGACGTTAGGTAATGCGAGTTCATATCTCAGCAAACTTTCTGACCCTTAATTTGCGTTCTAGCAGATCCTCGGGAGCGTCCACCGGATGAGCAAACCACACATCTATGGCTGGAATGTGGGACAGAAGCAAGTCGTCTAAGTATTGTTTACGGGCTATTCCATCGAGCGTTCGGATGCTAATGTACTCTTTGACGCCTCTGGATGTAAGGGGGCGTTCTTTTTCATTTAATAAATTGACAAGGACGACTTCTCCCCGAATAATGCAGTAGCAGCCGACACTTACGTGTTGCTCGTTGGCCTTGTCTCTGGTTAAACCTAAAAGAGGAAGTGACACTCTCCCCTCGGGCAAGCGATATTCTCTGAAAGAAATATTGTTAGTTTTGTGATTGATAGAAAAAAAATAAATATAATACTCACTCCTGTAAATCTTTTACACGCACGTTTTCTAACCGTAGCTGATTCGTGTTCCTCGAAAGTCGACCAATCACTGCGCACTTTCCATAGTGCACAGTTGAGTAATCTTTTTTTAAAGCTAATTCCTCAACCAATAAATGTTTGAAGAACGTACAGAATTCCAAAATGTTTTGAAACTCTGAATTCATAGCGGGTTCGGATGAACCCAAAAATTGTTTTTACAAAAGAGCCTACATAAACAACAGAGGTGGTAAATAGAGATGTTTTTAAAGACATCGATAAGTATACACCAGAACGATGCATATCGGTAACTATCGACAACAATGCGTAACAACGCCAAACACGTTTCCAACACTTTTATCTTAAAAAGCATTTTTATAAACGCTGAAAAATACATATAAACAGCGCCGGTTTTTTCTATTAATTTTTTGCGAAAAAGTAAAATACACCTAATATGTCCTTCATGAATCCGGTTGACATGGTAGACGAGGACGCAGCGGACCTGCAGTTCCCCAAAGGTAACAGTTGTGGACATCGAATAACCCATTAATTGCTGTTACAAGTGAAACTGTAGATGCTAGGGACTTTGGTTCCAAATGACTCAAAGGTGGAGCTCTTCCACCACTTTACAACAAATTACTTATTTTCAGTTGATCCTCTAGAGCAACGAGAGTCACGATTTATATTGGTTCGTCAGGATGAAGGTACCAGGACCGAATCTGTCTTCTACAACGCCCACTCCCTGCATAACAAGTTGGAAAAACTGGAAGAACTGGCAAAAGATGTTGCCGGAGTTGCATCCACTAGCGTTTTTAGTCGATGTGCCACGTGTCGATGTAAATTAAACGAACCTTACATCAAGTGCTCCGAATGTCTGGATATCATTCTATGCCTACTGTGCTTTTCGCGTGGAAAAGAGACTGCCAGTCATCGCAACAACCACGCCTATATAATAATGAGGGACAGCATTCAAGTATTTGCCGAGGAGCCTCATTGGACGGCGAAAGATGAACGTATCTTGCTACAAACCCTCCGTAGCCACGGCTATGGAAATTGGGAGGCGGTATCCAACGCTTTGGCACAGCGGCATAATCCGGCAGAAGCTCGACGCCACTATCATGAATGCTACTTTGGCGGGATTTTCGAGCGTCTGCTTAGGCTGCAACATTCTTCGCAATGTTATTTTCCGGAGCGGATGCCATATGTATACAAAATGCGCAGCTTGGACCCTCCCCGTCACGATGACATCGCCTCCATGCAATTTAAAATGAGTGCCGGATATCGTTGTGCACGTGGAGATTTTGATACACCATACGACACCTCTGCAGAAAGCTTACTTTCCATTATGGTAAAACAAAGCCCACGCGATGTGCATCAAGAAGACCATCAAAACGAAGCGGAACTTGGATTAATGGAAGAACTTCAGCTTGGTCTGGTGCAGGCGTACAACAATCGGCTTAGGTGAGGAATGTCTATGAAATATTCTTACTGATAATCTATTCCGAAATTCTCGAAACTCTCAGGGAACGACAGCGTCGATATAGAGTCATGCGTCAGCACGGACTAATCCTGCCCAATCGCACAGTAAGCTGGATTTCCAAGTATATGGGCGCATTTACCAGCGATGCTAGTTGCATGCGTTTTTTGGGATTCATGCAAATCTGTGATCCAATTCAATTTGATATGCTGGTGGAATCCCTGCGCTACTATAACGACTTAAAAACGAGACTTTATAAACTATATGATTATAGACAGCTGGGTGTGCGTAATTTTTCGGGAGCCGCTTTGTACTGTCGGCTTCAAAAGCAACGGCAGCTGGCTCAACGGGATTATTTCAGACAGAAACAGAACGAAGTCTTTGACTGGCAGCAACTAGTTCAGCACTATGAAAGTAACAAAAATGGAGAGCCGCTACCCCTAGGCATAAGTTCAAAAATCTATACATTGCACTCGCGCCGCAAAGCTCAACCCATTGAGATTGGAGGTAGGATAACGAAATTGTTTATTTAAATGTATCCATTTTTAATGTATAATTTTTTTTCTCATGTTCCTTTTTATAGATTTGCCTGGCTATTCAAAGTTGAACGCTGGTGAAAGGAAACTTTGCAGTGTAGCCCGCCTGGTTCCACAGTCATACTTAGACTACAAAAGTCAATTGGTTTCAGAGCAGGCAAAGTTGGGACACCTGCGTTTGGCCGATGCAAGACGGCTTATAAAAATCGATGTGAACAAAACTCGTCAAATTTACGACTTTCTTTTGGAACAGGGACACATTAGCAGGCCACAGTCCTATGGATAAATCTCTCTTTTCCTCAGTATTTCACTTGTAACTTTTTTTTCCATCCATTTTTTTTTTTTTGGTACACCTATACATATACTGAAGCGTAATTTTTTTTTCTTTTCCAGAATTCGAAAATGCCGAAACGCTGCTGATATCAGAGGTGCATATGCTTCTTGACCATCGTAAAAGACAAAACGAGTCCGCCGACGAGGAACAGGAATTTTCCGAAGTATTCATGAAAACGTACGCCTACACAGACAGTTTTCGAAAGTTTAAAAACAAGGAGACAATTATGTCTGTAAGAAGGTTAGTTTTTATAGAACTTACTAGTTCTTTTGTTATGACATTGAGATTTTTCCAGCTTGCTGATGCAAAAGAAATTGCATAAATTCGAGCTAGCGGCCTTGGGTAACCTGTGCCCAGAGGCGCCGGAAGAAGCCAAGGCACTTATACCATCGTTGGAAGGCCGTTTCGAAGATGAAGAGCTACGCCAAATTCTAGATGATATAGGCACTAAACGCAGCTTACAATACTAAGTTCTAAAAATACCTTAGCAAAGATAACTTAAGAAAACAAATGGTTTGAATAAAAGAAAATTTTAAATTTAAGTGAAATTTTAACACTGGCTAAAAAAAACTGATAAAGTGGCAGCTCTGTGTCATCATCGATGCTACCGGACTGGTTAAAATTATTAAGATATTTTTTTTTTTTTATTTTGTTTGCGTTGTTGTTGAAAACACACAAAAAATCTAACTCTTGGATTCATAGGTTCCTAATTCATGATATTTTCAAAAACGATTTAAAGGGTTTTAAATTCAATTTAAGAAAATTTAAGGGGTTTGAATTTTTATGATCTGGCAACTCGTTATAAAGACAAAGAATCAACACAAACCAATCTTGCTTTAATACTTTGAGGACGCTTCACAAAAAATGAATAAGGATAATTCCAGTATGCAGATGGATCCCCAGCTTGCCCTGCGCCTTCTTGCCGAGGGAGGTGTATTGGTCATCGCTGGTGTTCCTGAGGGCACGGAGTTCGGCATCGATTTATGTGTCCACACCATTGGGCCAAATTTCCGGGGCATAAAGATGATTCCACCCGGAGTGCATTATGTTTGGTGCGCTTCTCGAGGGCCCTATGGAGACACAGCTCCTCGTGTAGGTTTCGTTCATTTCTTCCACCCGAATGAGATTTTGGTCCGCGAGTGGGACAACGAACTGGAGGAGCTTCGACCACGAAGGATAGCAGAACCTGAGGTAGAGTGCGAGCGCATTCGGAAGAATTTGGCCCAGCTCGAACGCGTGTTGGCTCCCTACGATTACCGATACGTATGTCCATGGAAGGATCTGACAGGAAGTGTCACGGAATCATGCGTGGAGCGCTGCCGACCTTCAGATGGCACAATTCGCACCAATATTGAACTACAGTCATGCCCGGATGCAGAGAGGCCGAGAGGCAGGGGACCTGGTACCAGTAGTGGGAGCAGGCGAAATACTGCTGTCAGACTGCTTTTGGATGAAAGTGAACTTCTCCCGAACTTAAAGCCCGTAGAAGGAACGGCTCCACGGTTCACTTCGGTGCCTCAACGTGTTCCAAATAATGCTCTACCCTCCGATGTATCCAAACATGCAATAGACTGCATTGAAGCAGTGGATAAGCTAATCTGTAGCTTTGAATCCTCCAATGCATTAATTGAAGAATTGCAACTTGCTTATGCATTCTTCTTAGTTGGATACTCCGTAGAATCACTAGCCCATTGGCGAAAACTATTGGGTCTGCTGGCTCACTCGCAAACAGCGGTGACGAATCACAAGCTCACTTATATTAAGTACAGCGAGGTGCTGGCACATCAACTGCCTTACCTTCCAGAGGAGCTGATGGTCCCAAGCCCGCATAACACAGTATTCAAGGACGTACGTGAATTGCTCGTAAATTTGCATGCGGGCGGGTTGAGTGTTAGTGCCGAACGCCTAACCAAGAGGCTAGAAAAGAAGCTAGGATGGAATTTTGAGGGCCTGCTCGATGAAGATCCCGAGGACCAGCCTGTAATCATTGAACTGCCGGAGGAGTGAATTTAAATTGTAATTTTAATAGTTTTAATATAACAATGGATATAAACTGATCGATTGATTTTATCGGAGTGAGTGCTGGGTGCGTAAATAATTCCACAAATCCCGAGCCGTGCGGATGCTGACCATAAACTGGCACAACTTCGTCTCGATTAGGCAGAGAATCAAAAACTTGGCACGCTTGTCTTTCAGCAAAGACTGCAATGAGGTCTTGGCTGGCAAAATTTCACTTATTGTGGAAGTGGAACACTCACCTCCTCGTTGTTCTCTGGACCATTCTCCACCACAGACCATAGATCCTCAGACTCCAAATAAGCCCTAACCGTCATCGACCAGGCCTTATAGTTGTCCAGACCTTTGAGTTTTTCGATTTGCAGTTGCAGTGCCATATCTGTAAACAACTCGAGCAACGTTTTGCAACTAAGCCGCAATTTGCTTTTTCACCATTTTCCTCCACCATTTTCTGTCCAGATTTTCAAATATAGATATTAAAGCATGGTATATGTGTAAGGCTTTTCTTTTCTGCGCATCGACATTTGCAGACAACAATAGACCCAGTTTTTTTATTTGCTTCTGGGACATTGAAAGTGCTGGCCAATTGACATTGAGCTTAAGTGGACACTTTTGATTTGACGCAGAAGCAGCGTTATTGTTCCAGAATATTAGGGCAGAATGTATGCATATGCATTTTATTTTTTGTAAGTAAAAACATATTCAAAACTCGAATAATATATGTAGGTATGAAAATATGATATGGAATAGAAATGGATTACATAACAGCATATTTAAAACACACCTCTTTCTATCTGACGCCCCAATTTGATTTTATACTTACAAAATCATTAATAATTTTTATGATGTTTATATATTCAGATTATTCTATTTTTTTAGGAATAATAAAAAAAAAAACTTACCCAAGTAAAGCGGATTTCCAAATATAACTATTTACTGCCTTCTTCTAGTCAAACAATAAATCCCTAAAGTATGCCAAGAAGAAGAGCTGGCACTTTGGCCATTGGCAATTGTACTTCATTAAGAAATAAACGAAAATTTCTTACCAAGGGTAAACAAATTAATAAATAATATTTCATTTTCCGGTTATCAGTTATGGGATAATTTTAAAATTACCAAAAACAACAGAGGACGGCTATAGCTGAGTTTCCCGACAAATAATACCAGGTACTCATCTCTTCCACCCCACATCCTAACCCCTTTAAATTTTAAAAATGAATAGTAAAAACTATCCACAAAACTGCATTTTTGGATTACTGAGGAAATTACTTAAGGAAATCGGTAGGGAAGCAGAATAAAAAGTCTATACCTCCTCTAAAAATTGTCCGATTTGGCTGAATTTCAGAATTTATTTATCAATAATGGCTAATAAGCCATTGAAATATTTTCGCATAAAAATATTTTTTATAAACTTTTTTGACTTGGCGCTACAACATAATTTTACTTTTAGGGGTGGTGCATAATCGACTCGTTTAAATCTTCTTCAAAAATATGCCGATTTCGCTGAATTTGGATATCCAATTTTTTTGGTATAGAACCTGGCATCAAAATCTTTTCCAAACACCTTCCTTTACTGGTTCTACTGATATATGCGACCTGTGGGTCAACCATAGGAGTCCTTCTCATTGACGAATAGAATATAGCCCCACACTCTGGAGTACAGAGAATTCAAATCGCAGAGAGATATGCTTGAGCTGTGTTTGCTTACATTTAATCACATATCGATATTCAGAAGTAGCCATCGAACAGAAATAAACTTTCACACTGATTGGACTTGTTAGGACGCCCTTCATCGTCGGCCCCAGACACGAGCCCAAAAAATTCAATTAATAATAAATTGCGACGACCAGTTGTTTTTATGATTTTTATTGAAATGAATACGAATGTCAGTTTAGCTGCTGGTTTCTTGCATTTGTATTGCGGTTGTTTTTGCTGCTGATTTATGGTTAATTAACTTTCTGCACGGGCCTTTTTAGCAACTTCGAAATATTAGTCTGGCCTCTTTTCGGCGCTCTTCATTTATCATAAAGAGCTGCAAAAAAGTTCGTGCGAAAACTTTCCTGTTCTGCTCTTGACATTTTCCGTTGTCATTGTATTTCTTCGCTAATCACGCAAACACGCTACAGATAATGCTGCTGTTGATGTTGGGGATTTGGTTTTTTTGGCTAAACTAAATGTAAATTCTTCTTTTGGTGTGGATTTGGGCTTCTGTTTTAAATGCCGACATTTTGTCGTCGGAAAGGATATTCTGAAGGAGTTGGGGCTGGAAGGGAGATTCTTGAAAAAATTCGAAATCTCTACAAATTACATAAGTGGTAGGCATAGAAAATATACAAGTATATATGTATACAATATATATATGTACCGTTTTTTTTTGTATTTAGTAACTACAAATACTTTTCTATATTATTATTATGGTTTGTTTTTTGCGCAAGGTAAGAGATGAGAAAACGACTGCGATTACGATGGAAAACAAATAACGAATTGCAAAAAACAGAACAAAATATTCCAGTTCAATTGTATGTGATCATGCAGAAACAGAAACCAAATTTAGTAAGAGAGCAAGGAAACGTTAAGAGAAAACCAACGGTTCGTATGCGTGTTGTGTGTAATGTGGGTGTCTGTGGTGTGTTGCATGTCTGTGCATATGTAGGTGTGTGGTGTGCCAGTGTCTGGTGTCTGAACAATACACTTACATACATACAAATTTAAGCTTAAGAATTCGTTTTAAATTTCGCTTAACTAACATTCCCTTTTCTCATTTAATATAGTTTTTAGCTTTATTTCGGTCTTTCATTCTGTTTGCTCATTTCGTTTTGTTTACGCTTTTATGTTTTATTTGTATTAAATTTAAATTAATTGCTGTACTCTTTCTTACATTTTCGACTCTTTAATTTTTATGTTTGCGCTTATTAATTTGTTTATGTTTTCGATTTTATTTTCTCTTTCTCTTTTATTATGGGCTTAAAATTAAAGTTGTATTTTATGTGTTGCTGTTGTGTAGATTTATTTATTTTTGATGTGAACTTGCTTTATTAGTTTAAAAATGAATGGATGCCAACTCGATGATATTTGCTTTTACTCGTGTGATTGTTTCTCAATTTTCGTTACGCGGTTGCTTTGTTTTTTGTGGTTTAAATGAAGTTTATTTGTTTTGTTGTTTTGCTTCTCATAATTAAATATAATATTTATTTAAATATAATATAATGCTTTTTTCTCGAATGCAAAAATTTCAAATGTAGTAGAGTGGTTGCTGTTTTATGCCTTTTATTCGGAAGCCAGCACGAGACAAGGTGCCGCTTTAGTGGCTGCCACATAGTTTTTCGCGAATCATGCAATAGCAACAGCAGCCACGCCCACCAGGCCACCCAAGTTTCATTTGTTGTATTAATTTTAGGCTTTTTTGTGCTGAATTTCGGGTTTCATTCTCTGTTCCTGACGATGGATTGTTGCATGCTGGATTACTTGTTGTTGGTTGTTGATGCTGTTGCTGTTGCTTACATTATTCCTTCACTGCCCTTGTTTTGTCGTTCGTTGATTACGGATGTTGCTGCCGTGTTGGTTCGGTGTTGTTGCTGCTGTTGTTGTGTTCTTGTTGTATGCATATATATTATATGGTATTATATTTACTTTTAGAAGGTATATAATGTGTTTTAAATGGAAGGGCGGGGGTTTACTTAAATTACGACACATCCTGATCATCGACATCCGGAATCTGGGGGTCCTTCGGCTCGCCGTCACCTGTGTTGGGGTCTACTTCTTAGTGTAATATTTATAACTTAATAACAGCGACAAAGTGGTTTAAGAATGAGTCTTACCTTCGGCCTGCATATCGGACGTCCATAATGTGAGGTTGTCCCGCAGCAGCTGCATGATGAGTGTAGAGTCCTTGTAGCTTTCTTCACTCAGTGTATCCAACTCGGCAATGGCATCATCGAAAGCGGCTTTCGCCAAGCGGCACGCGCGGTCGGGGGAGTTGAGTATCTCATAGTAGAACACCTAATTTAACATTTACATACGTACAAAAACATTTAATTTAAAAAAAAGTAAGACAAGCCCAGTCTCCAAATCGAACGTACCGAGAAATTCAAAGCCAGTCCCAAGCGGATAGGGTGTGTTGGGGGCAGATCGTTCATGGCTATATCGCTGGCCTCCTTATAAGCAATCAGCGACTTCTCCGCTGCATCCTTGCGATCCGAACCGGTGGCGAACTCGGCCAGGTAACGATGATAGTCGCCCTTCATCTTATAGTAAAATACTTTGCTTTCGCCGGTTGTGGCGCATGGAATGAGATGCTTTTCGAGCACGTTCAGTATGTCCGAGCAGATGTCGCGCAGCTCTTTTTCCACCTGACCACGGTAGGTTTTGATCATCTCCAGCTTCTCCTCGGCCCCCTTAGTCTCCTCCTTCTGTTCGATAGAAGTGATAATGCGCCACGAGGCGCGTCGTGCTCCGATCACATTCTTATACGCCACCGACAGCAGGTTGCGCTCCTCAACAGTAAGCTCGACGTCCATGGAGGCGACCTTCTTCATGGCCTCAACCATTTCTGTTGGAAGAATAGAACCATTGAAATGACTATTTTAACACCATTATTCAATGAGTGTTAGCACATTTAGAAATTTAACATTTGCATATTTTATACCCTTTGCACGGCTGAGTGTGCCGTAAAGGCAGTTCTTCTAGTTTCTTATCGGCGACACGCCCCAATTCATAATGATAAGTACAGCAGCTACTTGTTTGCAGAGCTTGGCATTGCGTCCACGCCTGTTTTAAGCGATTCAGTCATACCCACACTACCCCATTTACCAATCACCGGTGATAACGGCTTTCGCTACACTGTTGCACCAACCTAGCATCATACTCCCGAAATCGCTTCATGAATCACATGCTCGGAGCTTTGGTGAAAAAGCAGCTGCAAGGCGACTTAACCAGTCCACAACGTATACTTTGTTGATAACAAAGCATCAAAACAATTCGGAATCAGAGCTGAAAAATTGTAATAGTAATGGCGCTTCCCATTTGGCACTCCGCTTGCTTGCATTGTCGTGTCAGCTGCTGACGTATTTCACCCACACACCCACCCCCTCAAACAAGCACCCGTTTACACAAGTCAAGAGACGCAGCGGGACATTTGCCGAACGCTTGCCTTGCCTGTCTGCCTCTATTTCTGTTGTTGTAGCACGTACATATGAAAATTGAAATCTAAGTTGCATGATTCATGCGTGCCTCGCAGTTGAACTTCAAAAATTGTTGTTTGCATTGAAACTCTCATTATGTATGTATGTTTGAGTGACGCTTCTGTAGCTAACGCATACGCATACGCATTTTGCAACACTGTCATTAAGGCTGTTGCCAAATTGAACTTGTCAACTGTTCAAAGGCCAGAACGGGAGGCGGAGCTGACCAGATGGGAAACTTCCTCCGCCATCCAGCACATGTTGCTTAGTAGTAATCCACTACCAATTATGAGACATGCGCGCCACTCAGGTCATTAAATATACATATAGAACGAAAAAAAATCAATAAACGGGGCGAAAAAATATAGACTATGATTGCACGACATGACAAATCGCTTCCAAAAAATAAGGAAAGTCCCCAACCAAAAAAACTAAACCCAACTGCCCCAATCTCAGACTGCCTGCAGTCTCAGACATATATATGCAGTATTTATATTGCAAGACATTTTTTCTAATATTTTTTTCCAAATTTTGTTTTTCAGCTTCAACGTCAAAGTTGGACCCTATATACTTAATATTCAAGTACAGATCCTTGTATTCTGCCTAATAATTCTAAAATCATTCTTGTATTTTCACATATGCATATGCATAATGCATACCATTAAAATTATTTTTTTATAAACAGGTAGGTTGTCTTGAGATATCATATATGTATTTACGTATATATATATATTTATATATATATTGTTTTCTGTGCAGGTGTACGTCAGGCGGGTACAATAAAAGATTAAGGAAAATACGGACAAAAAGGGAAAGGGGATGACTGGAGGTTCCTCCACGACTCCCCCTATAACGACTGCCCATCCCAATCCTCCCCCATCCTTATCAGACCGATGAGGGTGTGTGGCTGTGAGGGTGTGCCTGCTTGTGTGACATAAGGGCGCAGCAGCTGAAAAAACATGCGCACATACCGTTACAGCAAAAAAGAATGTGTAATTAGACAAAGAAAAGCTAACAACCGGTCCATAGAGCAGAAGCTGCCGCGAACTGACCACTTAAATGGTGCAATTTGCACAAAAAGCGAACATCCAACGTTTCCCCCGTTTTCATCTAATGCCCATCTATCAGTCATATGTATGCTTTTTCGCATATTGACGACATTGACGGAAAAAGCAGTGCGCGACCTCGAAAAAAATGTAGATAGAACCCGGAGAGTGGGAACGGGAAAAGCGAAGGGGGAATCAGTCGCGAGAGGGGCAAAGGGAGCACCTGAGAAAGCACACTCAGAGGCTGACGTTAATGTGTATTGAGGGGAGAGAGGACGAGGAATAGGCTGCGGCTGTGGACTGGGAGGTGAGGTAAGTTCAGATTGGGGGCGCAGACATTGCCGGCTGGCGGCATTAGCCTGTTTTACGCGTGTGTGCCCTCTTTGGACTGGTGTTGGTGCTCCAGCATGAGCTCCACGGCAACTGCCCAAGTGCGACAAGGCCAACACCAAGTGCTCCCGTGAACACACACAGGCTCACAGATACGGCTCACGCAGGCGAAAATAAGAAGACAAACATGTGATACAGACACAAATATACATGGGTGTGAGTTGGCAGTGGCTGCTAATAGTTGATTGACTTCTTTGCTGCTTTTATGAAGGGACGACGCCTGTTAATGTTGTCAGTTTTGCAGGCAATTATCCACTGCACTATTGCAATTAGCCCTCCTAATGTACAGCAAGCTAAGATTATGCCTCTTTATTTTTCGCAGGCACTGTGCAGAGACGCCGACAGTACCAGACACTCTAGCTATCCCGTTTTAACACAGGCAGCGGCAATCGGAAATCGTTAAGCGCGCGCTTTTTGCAAAAGCCAAATTTGTTGTTTTCCCCACCACACTGATACGGCTCATCCTATTTTTGCATTTTAAGTAGCGTTTTAATTAATTGGAGTATTTTTAATTAAATAAGCAGCAACAATAAAAGCTCCCGGAGAACTCATCCGCTCACACAGTCTCGCAGGCGCACCAATACATGCGCGGGGGTATGAGTAATGCGAGAGCAACAGAAAAAATAATTTTTTCTGCACTATCAGACAGAGTTGCCAAGTGGTTGGAGAACCGATTCAGAGGTGAAGAAGTTAAAACTTGCCGCAACCAATTTGCATAAATAACGAATTAAGGAAAAACTAGGGGCGGGAAAGGAGGGAAGGAGCCGGCGACACAATCGATTCATTCATCGATTTTTCGCAGCAACGCTGCTGTTGCTGCTGCGCATGAAAAGCACATTTTGAATAGAAGCAGCAGAAAAAGACATGCCCCCATCCACATCCCCCTGCAATGATTTTGGGTGTGGATGTAGAGGGGATTGAGATATCTGAACGAAATTAATAAAATAAAATTGTGTCGCTGCGTTTCCTTCTAGAATAATACGCCTTGACAACAACTGGTGACTACAAACAGCCCTTAGCAACGCTTGGAAATGAAAATGTTGGCCGCGCAGCCCTCACTCGCAACGCTAAATACACAAAATTTCGATTTGGAAAGGTACAAGAGGCCCCCCCCCCCCTTTCACAAAATCTTTCGAAATACAACTATTTTCAGTAAATTATAATACGCAATTTCGGCTTCTTTCTCTTTTCGCAATCGGAAAGACCACCGCGAAAACCACGCGAATTTTTGCCGGTAAAAATCAGGTTTTACATTTTTCTCCTCTCCCTCTTTTTTAGTCTTCTTCCGACGCTCTTCTTCTTGGCGTTCCTCCCTTTCTCTGCATCTCCCCTGTTCTTCGTTTCGCAGAAATACTACTCATCGACATTGGCAGCGACGCTACGTCGCACCTACACAAATGAAGCCTGTCTGCTAAATTAAAAATTTCCAGCTTTTTCCCAGCTATCAAGTTCTCCTAGTTTTAAATTGGCAAGCTTGGAACAATTTCGGACGCATCGAGCGACAGCAACTTTTCAGAGACCACGCGACGACGCAACGAACGGACCCCTCCCCATCGCTGGCGCTCCTCTGGCGCTGATGAGAAAATTTTTTCCAGCCCAAGCCTTTTAGGTGCACTTACCGTCGTAGCGCTCGGCCTGCTCAGCCAGCTTCGCCTTGTACACATTGTTCTCGCGCTCAGTCATTGTGTTGGTGCCTTTTCGGTAAATTTATCCACACAAAATTATTTAAATGCTCCCGGTACGTGCGGCGTCGAATTTGCAGTTTGCCAGTTGCCAGTTGCCAGTGTCTCGTCGCCTTCTTTTCTCTACTTGCTTCGGTGTTGCCAGGTGTGAGTGAAGCAGTGTTGCCAGTGGTGCTTGAAGGAAAAATGCAGTGAGGCGCCCTGTGTGCAGTCATTGTTTAAAGGCACCCTGTGCTTTTTCAATCAAGTATTACCAATTTTAAATGTCACCAAATCAGACAAAATAATGTATTTTTTATTTAACACGCATACGGTAGCGCATACTTTGATTTTAATTTTTCTTCATGGATGCTTAAAATATTGTGCTAAATTTAAAATTCAAATTTAAGTTTCACATTTTTGTGCGCCTCGCTGGGAAAACTTGATAACTTAATAGTCTCTTATCGATACTTTTCTACAAATTTGTGTTGCCAATGCAGCTCTCGTACAGAATTTGGTCACACTCTACCAAGTTGCGAAAAAAATTGGGGGAAAACATTAGATAGGAATCGCAAATATGCTTATCAAATAAGGCACCAATTGCATGAGAAGGATGAGTCTCAATCTAGGGGGCTGGATACACAGTTTTACTGTGACAGACACTCAGGAGCACAAGGGAGGATACACAATTTATAAAATAACTTCGATTGTAAGTACCGACATTGTATGACATAAAACACGGTTTTATTTTTCTGACATTTATAGGTCTTCCCTCGCTCGGTGCCACAGGCTCTGACATGCCTGGTAGTGTGGAAACGATTTCATGATGTGAAAAGGCTTCACAGAGAATTAAGCCGACGCCACAAAAGCCTGCAACTGCCGGGAAAGTTGCCCGTACCCACGGACAGCAGCTTCTTCAAACGATTCGATGCGGTGGTCATTCAACGTCGAAAGGAGTACATCCTGCAGCTGCTTGACTTTGCGGCGCAGCATCCGGCATTGTACAAATGCGCTACCTTTACTCAGTTCTTTCAGGAGCAACCTTCACCAAACGGTTCGCCTCTTAAAAAGCTGTACGTAGAGAGATCTTTGAGGCTGGGGAGTGAGAACAGCTGCAATGCATCCATAGGAAATGGGGGTGCCGGTGCCTTAGCCGATATTTGCGAGACACTTGATCTGCGCTACGAGGCATGTGATGCCGACGAAACATCACCGGATCCGCGCGATAAGGATAAGGCAAGAGTAAAGGAAGTCGAGCTTAAAGCAGAACCGAAATCTATGGCTCAGTCCATGCAGGATGAGATTTCCAATAAGCGGGACTATTTGCGCCTTCTGACGCCTATGGCATCAATTGAAAACGAAGATAGTGACTACATATACGAAGCGGCCCTCGAGTTCAGCCATGCCGTCCAGGCGGAGGTCAATTTGGAGTATGCAGAAGCCCATCATCATTACAAGCATGGCGTGGATCTTTTGCTTAATGGATCAAAACAAGATGCCAACGAGGAGAGGAAGTTTATAGCCAAGGCCAAGATAGCAAAGTATTTAGCCCGTGCGGAGGAGATCCACGCCAATTTTTTGGCGGCAAATCGCCTAACGAAGAAGCTGCAATTTCAGCTCTCTCTTGATTTGACCGATAATGGTTGTATTGAGCAGTTGGAGTGCCCTTGGAACCAGCTGGCCCAGTACAAGGTGCTTCAGGTGCTGCATGAACGGGTTATGCTAGTTCAGTGCGTGACAAAGCCTCAGCAACCCGCGGCAGTCATGAAAGGCATTGAAAAGCCTGCTAGTCATTCGCTTACTCAAAGCATATTTCTGCCTCAGAAAGTGCCGTATATGGTTCAATTACTGGCCTATTTTCAGTCTGAGCAAAAGATATTTTTGCTCTTACGACATGCAGAAGGCGGCAGACTATACGACTATTTGCAGAGCTACACCCCTACAGGTAGCAAGAGTGTCAATTACGGAGAGCTTTTTCCGGTGGAGACCCAGGAGGAGCAGCAACATCTTACTGCCGACAGCGATGTCAGTGATTTGGTGCGCAGCTCCCAGCAGTTGCTTAGGTCTGTTTCAAATACGTTAAGTAACTTGCAAGCTGGAGTCCCAACACCGAAGAAGCTTAAGTCCGATATTTGTCGTATTTGGAGTAAGCCCATTCCAGAGCAATGCTTGCGCCAGTGGGCCTGTGAACTCGCCATTGCCATACATAGCCTGCATGGAAAGGGCGTGATACTGCGAGACCTGCATATGGCTAATATCCTTTTGGGCGCTAAGGGCCAGTTGCTACTGACTTACTTTTACCAAAATGAAGGACTCAGCTCTGACGACAACTATGTGCACAAGGCACTCAGCTTCGACGCGCTAGCCAATCATTTTGTGGCCCCAGAAAGACCTTTGAGTTTTCGGTCCGATTGGTGGAGCTACGGCGTGGTTCTCTACCAGTTGCTATTGGGAGTGGTAAGTGTGATTCTAAAGCTATAAAGTTTATAGTATAAACCAGTCATGAAATATTTTTTTTCCAGCCTTATAAAGCTACTCATCCAGGTCAGCTGGAGCTTTATGGATGCGTTCAGTATCCTGGTGATTCCTTGGACATCTCCGAAAATGCAAGGAATCTCTTGGAGAAATTGTTGGAAATAAAACCAGAGCTTCGCTTAGACTACGATCAGTTACAAGCGCATCCGTTTTTTAAGGGCATTGATTGGCAGGCGGTTTTGAAACAAGGAACAGCTTGACTGTTTTCGTGAGAGCCGTTACTTTCATAAAATTTTATTTTTTATATTTTTGCCAATACCCTACAACTGAGTTGCGAGCTTTGTATATTATATATATATTATAGTTATAATATTTCTTAAAAATCTTCAAAACCCTCGAAATATTCCCCACTGTTTCTCGATGTTAAAGTGAAACACTTACGATTCCCATATTTATATTATATGTTATTCTGCTTTGTTTGTTTTTACAATTTTTTAGTCAGTAATTGGTACAAAATAAGATTTATTCATATGTCTATTATATACATTGGCAAAATGTCCTAGAGTATGATACAATAACGTAATTTAAACTAATTTAATTGTAGGTACAACAAATTTTTTAACGAATATACAAAGTGGATAGATTAGTATGTAATAACTTTGTAATGCCAAATGAGCTAATATACAATACAGCAAGTTTTATTGTCTAAACAACAGTATTTAAAATTATGTCTGGATATACTAGAAGTAAGTTTGGATTCGGGGGTCTTTGCGGGAAATCCACCCTTTATCAAACGGGTAAGGCACATTTCGAATGCATTTAGACTGGGCTCTACATGTGTACTTATGTATGTATGTTTTAGAAGCTCTAGCCTTTGCTAATCTATACTTAAAACTAGAATATACGTTAAGTTTTGGCAAGACTTATCGATTCTGTTGTTGCAACTTGCGAAAATAAATCTAAAAGGAACCTATGGCAATATGAAAACAATGGCCAGGGACTTTATCTGTATAGCAGATCTGCAAAGTCCCAAAAGCTTCTGGATTGTGGAACTCAGTCGGGCTTAAATATCAAAAATTACACATGATACATTAATTGGCTATCGAAAATATAAAATGTTACCGTTAAATTCGAGACTATAAATACGATTTTGCTTTGAAGACAATCTTTAAATGCCTGGCTCTTTTTTGAGGTCCACACGGCCCCACAGCCAGCCGAAGATACAAGGTTCGAAATGCTGCACACCCCACGCACTCTTAAAATGGACGCCTGAATCGGGCGCTTGGCATGATGGACGTGGTCCAGCGGCGGTTGCTGCTGTTCTGCTGTTGTCGTCTATGTGTGAGCATTTCCCTTAGTGCAAAAAAGGCGGCAGGGCAAAGGTCTGCGCCTGCTGCTGCTGGGCGGCATTCTCACTTTTGATCACAGCCTGCATGCCACCGCTGTCGTTGTCATCGCTGCTGGTACCTCCTCCACCTCCGCCGCTAGAGGATCCGCCTGGAGCACTTGTCACATAGTGCTGACCTTGAGACTCTACTAGGTGACAGTTTGAACTAGGACTCAACTCTAGACCTGATCCACTTTGGTGGCATTGAAGGTGTACGTATTTTGTTTCCTCTGCGCTCAGGTACTTCCCGTTTAGTTGCTGCTGGGACTGGTGGGATTGCTGCTGCTGGTGGGTATGGACTGTGACCAGGGTGCTATCTGCCAATTGTTGTTGCTGTGGATGCTGAGCGGCCTGAAGTTCCGCCGGCTGGTAGCTTGTTCCATTGGCCACCACGTCTTCGCCTCCCCCTGGTACCGATCCGGATGCAGTTCCCATCTCCATGCGCGGCGGGCTCCCGTAATCAAAGTGCCGCATTGGGAACATCTGACTCTCATGCACATAAGCACCATACTGGCCGGAATAGGTGCCGTAAGGACTGGCCGCCGGGGAAAGCAAACTGAACTGTGTTGTCAATTCGTAAGGTGTCTGGTAGCTGGTCCAGCTATCCATACTGCCCGGGGGCGTCACTGTAGTCGTCTGCGGGTAGCTGGTAAATGGAGGGGCCAGGGTTCCGGGATTGAGATTTGCCGTGGGCGGAGTGCTCGTCTTGATGTAGCCCGTTTTTCGTGGCGGTTCGTGCTTTCGCCATTTGGCGCGTCGGTTTTGGAACCACACTTGCACCCTGGATTCGCTTAGGTTCAACTTGATGGCCAGTTCTTCGCGTGCAAAAACATCCGGATACGGTGCACGCTCGAAGGCGCGTTCCAGTTCCTCCAGCTGATAGGCAGTAAAGGTTGTCCTGTTGGTAAAATAATGGATTTAAAATTTTAATTTTATCCAAAAATTGAAATAATATAAAGAATTGTTTCTGTCTAGTGTTATTATTAAGTTCATTAAAACAAAGTAACACCCCAGATTACGTTTGTATTTCCTTTAAGTGTTCCTTAGGATGCCCCTAAATTACTCATACGCCCCGTGGTTGACCCATAAATGGCCAGTATTACTGCCTTGGGGGACATAATTTCAATGATTTCCCGCCGTTAAATTAATTGGTACTAAAACAGATAAAAATTGCCATCAGCTTACCTCGTTTTCTTTTTTTTAATGCCATTGGGATCGCCTTTCTTTTTACTGCTGCTGCTCTCCTTTTTCGGCGCAGCGGATGTCACACCTCCTGCTGCGCCTGCTGCCCCCTGAACTCCTGTGGAGCTGGTTGAAGTGCCGTTGGGTGTTCCTGCACCACCATTGACCGTCGAGGAGCTGGTGGTCGCAGTGGCGACAGGGCCACCGGCCTCCATTTGTCCGCAGATTTCATCGGGCTTTTTCAGTTTTCCAACCGATGAACCTCCGTTGAGCATCACTGGAGAGGAGTCCTGGAGCAGAGCGTCGGTCCCGTGCTGATCCAGATGATCTAGGTGATGTGGGCTGCCACCGTAGAGGTGTTGCAACTGCTGCTGTGGCTCGTACTGATCCTTGGGCGAGTAGTCAAGTTTGCCATTCATCGGATGATAGTCAAGGATTCCCACCAGTTGCTGCTGTTGTTGGGAGGGCTGTTTGTGGATCATAATGCCGTTATGGCTGGGCGGAGGAGTAGCCGCATAGTGCAGGTGATGTTGTTGCTGATTTTGCTGCTCCACGATTTTCTGAGGGGCAGTGATGTACTCGAACTTCTGGGTCGGTGAGTAACAGCCAATCTTAACATAGTCTAGCTTGGGCACATAGTTGGGAGATCCTCCGGGACCAGAACCACCACTTGCTCCTCCCCCTCCGTTCGGCAGAATTGTGTTGCAGTCGGGCAATCTCTGTTGCTGCGGGGGCTGCTGTTGCTGGCTGCACAACTCGTGGACACTGCCCAGCATCACGGGATGCATAGCAGTCGAGGTAGGCAGGAGTGGCTTGGCGCCTAGAGGGTTTAATGGACCGCTGCCAAAGTCCCCAAAAATGTGGTCGTCGAAGCTGTCATGCTCCATCCTATATCCTTGTATTTTTCAAAAAACACCAACACAAATCACAAATCACGGGCTCAGACTTTGGAGATCACTTCCTTTCCAATTCATTAGATTTTTACAGCTATATTCGTTAACTGTTTTTTTATTTTGTTCTTCAATGTTTTTTAATTGCGTTTATAATTTTTTTCTCTTAAATCTGTTCTTTTATTTTATTACTATTTATTATTTATTATTTATATTCCTCCTTAGATCCTGCTCACCGTCGAGGTTCGACTTTAATTGAGTCGGCTTCGGCGATGATTGCCTTTTTATACCGGCGCAGGCGACTGCGCAGCGTCGGCCCTGGCAGCGACCAATCACAGGCCATCAATGGCTGTCGCTACTCGGGGTGTGGTTTCTCCTCTCCAACAGCATGTTTATTTTTGTATTTCTGACTTTTTCTACTAGCTGCCCGTGTCCGGTTCACATTTCTAACTATGAATGAGAATGCTACCAGCATTTTCCGCCTGGGAACGGAAAACGATACGGAATGTCAAGTCCTGGGAACGGGACTAAGATTTCTACTGGATTGAGATTTCATTGGAGGACCCGGGAAACATTAAGGGACACATAAAATTGCTTTCTTCATCCTAAAAGTATTGAGTAAATTTATTAAATTAAACTTACTAAATTATTACCTAATAAAATAAGAACTAAGGTTGGAAAGCTTTTATTACTTATACTACTTTAATTACCTTACTACTTAAGTTGCATGAAATACTTTTTCATAGCCCAATAAGAGATCATACAATAGTTAACAATTAAAAAATATTCAACAATTCCATAGTTAAATTTCAAGTGCTCCAAATAGTATCTCGAATTTAAAAATTTTTAGAAGGGAAATCCCTTTATGTTTTTTATGTTTAACATATTCCTTGTTTCTAAAGCCACTGCATATACATAAATTCTTAACATTTATCAATGAATGACGCTTAAATGCAAAGAAAATAAAAAAGGCAATTATTCTTTTAATTAACTAGATCGAAAACGGGGAGTTCTTCGTTTTCGAAAAACTTATATTATCTTATTATCGATTATTAAAGAGAATTTATAAAGTCTGAAAGACTCCAACAAATAATCAAAGGGAGGCAACTCCTACTGGCCCCAACGTCCCTGACTGCTGTAACTGTTAATTTGCCTAATGGCAAAGCTATATCATTTTCGTTTGGCTATCCCTAACAATCCACCTTCATTTTCACACATGTTGGTCGAGTCATTAATTTCTGACTCACAACGAATTTCCCTTCAATGCACAGTCGCTATTCACATAAATGCAGCGGAATTTGGAGGGATAGCCCAAGATCGGGGTTTCCAATTGGACAACCCCTAAATTACAAGGCTTCTGAAGGATCGGCAATCGGTTGGCACGCTTGCGACCTCTTCCTTCCACTTCTGACGGTTTATTCTTCCCGCCACGCGAGTCACCCTTTAAAAGGACTCACTGGAGTTGCGTGTGACCTTTTGGCCAAATGCTGGTACCTTGATCACCGCACTTAGACCGGGACTAAGTTATGGCTCATTTGGGTAGACCCATCGATTTCACGGGATATTTTAAAGTGGGAGGCGAAGGATGCGGGCTACAGTCAAGAAGGGAAAGTGCCAAATTTATACAATTATTAAGATTTTGGGATCACCGATGAAAATATGATCGTAGGTTTGTGTCCACTAATAAGAATTAAGTAAAAGCAGTAAAAGCAAAGGAATGCATGGACTAGGTTTTTGGAAATGCTTCTCTAGAAATATTATTAATTTATAATAATAATTAGAGCTGCTAAAAAATATTTACTAACAGTTTTATTATACATATATTTATAAAAAAAACTTAAATAATAAGGAAATACTATATATAGAGTCAAACAGGACTTCTAAGGAACTTCAGAAGTCACCCATTTAACCCGCATTGATCTTGTATTAAAAGCATGAGCTTCCCGGGAATTCAAGAAGGATCAACTATTTTCCCATCGCTTGAAGGGCGGTAAAGAGGAAGGAAACCCATCAAATTCCACACGAAATTACAAAAAAAATCTTTCACACAGACACATTGGACAATTCGATACTTTTCGGCATTGCAGGTTCAAAAATGCGGGCAAACGGAATCGAGGTCTGAGAAATGGATGCGAGGCACGCGATCAGTGCCGAAAGATGAAAACAAATAAATACACCCCGTACTGTGGGTACTGGGTCGTGACCCAGAATGGGAGGGATGTTACTGGAAGGTACAAAGTCTTTGGGGTGCGGACCTCTTGTTGCGTGTGAATAATCAGACAATATTTTGCATTAGCCAATTCACCAATTATGAGGGCCTGAGCTAGAGGATGGTGCCAGGATACAGTCACTGAAGGGGGAAGTTTAATGCTCCTCCCGTACAACCTTGAGAAAATCAGATGACGTTGATTATATCTGAGGCCAGATCATAAGTCAAACATATTATTGATCCTTGAACCTTTTGAGAAAAATTTCAGTTTGAGAAAAGGACTTAAAGATTTTATAAACCTAATTACACAGAAAAGGTCTTAGGCTAACGTTTCAAATGCATAAAAGATTTAAATAAAACTACATATAAAATACTTTTATTTGTATTATAATTTGACTGTATCTGGAATTTTGCAGTTGGATTGTGTTTGTTTTAAATACATATGCGATAGGAACTACTTGGTACAGTTGACGCTGGCAAGCAACAAGCGCGCCTAAGCTTTTACTGAATATTTTTTCATATTTTTTCCATAACTATACACGTACTCAGAGACGGCGGACAGACCAATAGGCAGATACGCCAACAGAGGGCAGACAGATACCCAAGCCTATCGCCAAGTCGCCGCATCCACACTGGTCCCACCGACATGACAGTCCATCCTCAGTGGCAATATTGCACGGTAACATCAGCAAAATTCCCTCATCCTCGGTGACAGGGGCATGGCATTATCACATTGTATTACGATCTGAGTGGAGACAGCCACGACGTTTTGTTATGCATTTCTACAAACATTCTCACAAATATACGAATATTTACGAACATATGTTTGTATCTACCATTTCCATTCGCTTGGCTTTGGATCGGCGATTGTGATCAGTTTGCACAACGAAATTCCAATATGGCGGGCTCAAGCTCGGCTCACACATTGTCAATCTTTCACATTTAGGCATATGTATGGATACTACACATTTATGTTCCGTGCCAGAGTAAAGAGTAGAGCTCACCAATACAGACGCGTCCAATTAAGCTTCGTTAAGATCAATTTAAATCCCGCATAAAATATCAAATAGTTTTTGTATTTTAGTTTCACTTCTGCCTCGGCAGTCGCTATTTGTTCTCGCTCTCTCAGTGTTCAGGAGAAATAAAAAATATAAAATGAAAAATGAAAAACCTCGACTTATGATCACTACACTGCAAAAAAATTAAGTTACATTAAATGTATTTTAGGAACTGTCTTTAAACATACATAGTTTATTCTTTAAAGAAAAACATTATACTCTCTTAGTTTTAGTAAAACCAACCTTTTTTTCAGTGCGTATTTCGAAATCCACTGCCCACGAGACAAAGTCTGCAAGTCGACCCGTAGCCAGAGCCGTAAACGTACATATGTATGTACTTGTTCCCGGACCCGGCCCTTCCTCTAGCTTTCCAGTGGCATTGCTGACGAAGATGTATAGTTTTTTTTTTCTCATTTTCGGCTCGTTAATTCTCCATGGCACTTTGGGGTCCAACTTGCCTGGTGCTTACGATTGCGGTTCGGGTTGTTATACCCCTCTGGTGCCCGCTTTACATGATATGTAGTACATACTCTTGAACAGTTGTGGGGACGGATGTGAGAGCAGTATCTGACATATGACCCAGACGAACGGCGACGATCACAAACGTTGACTCAAATTGGTTTATTCATTTTGCTTTTAGCTTTCTGTTGCTTTATGATTTTGCCAACATTTTCCATAAATGAGATTTGTATCGTCATGACTTTACCAAAATTTGGGAGTGAGTTTTGTTTTCCACATACTTGTAGCTCATAAAATCTTTCTTACATATCTGTAGTTTCCAAAAATGTATAGCATACTTTTTAGCGTGATTATGGCATATTTAAGAATAATGGGATTTAATCGAAGTTTTTAGTGATCTCTACTTGCAGAGTGTTTTGCAGTGATCTTTACAGAGAGTGATCTCTAATTATAAATATTCTATATCTCTATATTATCGGGATTCTTATGCTCCCGATAGAATCGGTGCAAGCTTCTTAGTATCAACAACCGAATTATTTTGGTTGGATATTTAATATAATCTGTTAAGAAATCTTCCGCCTACACGAGATAATTGTTCAACAACCCTTTCAAATCAGGGAGTCCTCACTGGCCCAACTCCCCGCCCCCACACACAAAATCGCCCCTAAATACTTAATGCAATCAAAGGGAAAGTGAGAGTGGACGCCAATAAATTAAACGCAATCTCCATTGGACAATTGCTATCGCATATCGCACACGAAATGTGGGGCACATGGAGCATATAGCTGAAGATGTCAACCGCTTGGTTTGGCCCGTGTAATTGGCTTTGGGTCTTGGGCAAGTCGATTCACGAAAAATCGCAACACAGTGCGCGCAATTCCAATTAATTGCCGACAATTGTGACTTATTTAAGGCGAAGGCGCCATTTAATGTGGCACTGTTGCAACTGTGGCCGATAACTTGAGCGGCACGATCGTTGTCACATGGCGATTTGTTGGCCAAACTGGCAAATTATGTAATTTGTATCGAAACTACATTGTAAGAAGCTTAAACTTAATAAGAAATCGAGCATTTACGTTATAATTAAGTAATTTTAGACAGATTATATCATTTTTTAAGATTCTTAATATTTAAGATCCACTGATTAGCATAGTAAATTAAATTTAAATATTATTGAATAATATTTAGCTGTCTTAAAGTAAATAGGAATTTTATTTTATAAACTTTTTAACTTTGGTAGTTTGGTAATTAGTTTGTTTTCATTGATTTTTAAGGTAAAATTAAAGTTTCTTGCATTTATTAATTTCTCAATCGGTTTGTGTGGTAATATTTAATTAATTGTGATTACCGACACTGCACTTGACACTGCCATTGTTTGGAGGCACCACTTATCGTTTTTGGCGTTGTGGATCTGTGTGAGGACTTAATTGTTTGTAATTAAATAAAATTGTACAAGGTCGATTACAAAAATTCATCGCGAACTCGGGGAAGGGGCTGTTCTGGATGTGCTGGTAA